GGAATGTTAACAAATATTGTGAAATTTATTAAGAAACGGTTCAAAATATCTGTAGAGAGCAAAGTTAACTTATAACCCAGTCATGCAATGGCCATGGAGATGATATGTTGTTGCCCGGTATCTCCGCAATTTTGCTAGAAGTCATTTTCATTTAGAGATAAGTGGGAGATGTTTGAAGGTCGAAGGGGAATTGTCTACACAAACGTAATGTAAAAGTCTGGTGGAGGGATAATCGCTATAAAGAGAAGGAAGCTTGAGAAAGTTATACTGATGTATTTGGTACTTTTTTCAAATGGTACTTTTTGAATGAGAATCTTTAAGAAGAATCGTTTTAGATACTTTTTGTTTTTCAAATGATACTTTTTCAATTTTCTGTTAAAGCTAGAATCTTAAGTAAATAAAACCTAAGTAAATAGGAATCTATTAAGGGAAGATTTTGGTGCCTTTTAAAATGGTACTTTTTAAATGAGAATCTTTAAGAAGAGACTTTTTCGTTCTTCAAATGATACTTTTTGATTTTTTTTATAATAAGTAATCCTAAGTAAATGGAAAACTATTACGGGGAGTTTTTGGTACTTTTTTCATAAAGTACTTTTTGAATGAGAATCTTTAAGAAGAAACTCTTTAGGTATTTCTTCGTTCTTCAAAAGATACTTTTTCAATTTTCTGTACAATTGAAGCTAGAATTTTAAGTAAATAAAACCTAAGTAATCCTAAGTAAATGCTAATCTCTTGGGGGGAGTTTTGGTACTTTTTCAAATAATCCTTTTTATATGAGAATCTTTAAGAAGGAACTGTTTAGGTACTTTTTCAATACACAAATAGTGCGTTTTGAATTGTCTATAATATGAAACCAAATTTAACATAAACAGTACTGGGTGAATGAGAATCTATAGAAGCAAAATTTTTTAGTACTTTTTCGTCGTATAAAATGAAACTTTTCGGTACTTTTTCGTTCTTCTAATTTTACTTATTGAGTTTTCTATATTATGGAACCAAAACTCATAAACTGACATTTCCCTCTAGTCAATGAATGATAATCTAAAAGAGGGAAATTTTTTGATACTTTTTCTTTCTATAAAGGGGTACTTTTTCATGCTTCAAATGGTACTTTTTGGAGTTTCTATAATATGGAACCAAAACTTATGAAATGCAATAAAGCCTCTAGTGAGCGAATGATAATCTAAAAGCGGGAACTTTTTTTGTACTTTTTCGTTCTATGAAAGGGAAGTTTTTGGTACTTTTTCGTTCTTCAAATGTTACTTATTGAATCTTCTATAATATGAAACCAAAACACATGAAATGAAAATACACAGTCCAAAGTAAATGAGAATCGAAATAAAGGAACTTTTTAGGTACTTTTTCTTTCTATAAAAGGGAATTTTATTGGTACTTTTTCGATTTTAAAGTGGTACTTTTTGAATTTTCTATAATATGGAACCAAAACACACGAAATGAAATATACATTGTCATGAATGAATGATAATCTGAAAGAGGGAACTTTTTTGGTTCTTTTTTTGTTCTATAAATGGGAACCTTTTGAGACTTTTTCGTTCTTCTAATGATACTTTTTGAATCTTCTATAATATGAAACCAAACTCGTGAAATGAAACATACACTGTCCAAAGTAAATGAGAATCTAAAAAGGGAACTTTTATGGTACTTTTTCTTTATATAAAAGAAAACTTTATTGGTACTTTTTCGATTTTAAAGTTATACTTTTTGAATTTTCTACAATATGGTTCCAAAACTTATGAAATTGAACATACACAGTCCTGAGTGAATGAGAATCTATAAAAGGGAACTTGGTTAATACTTTTTCGTTCAATTAAGGGGGACTTTTTGATAGCTCTTTGGTACTATTTTCGTTCTTCTAAAGGTACTTTTTGAGTTTTCTTAAATATGACTCCAAAACTTTTTCGTTCTATAAAAAGGGAACTTTTTGTTACTTTTTCGTTCTTTAAATGTTACTTTTTAGGTATTTTTGATTTGTATTGTATATTATTGAATAATATTGAACATAGAAACCTAAAATTAAACTTACAGGGTCTAGAGTGTATTGGAATATTAAAGAAGACTGTTTGGTACTTTTTTTAAATGGTACTTTAAAAAGTACTTTTTATAAGTTTTATAATATTAAACTAAAACACATAAAATTAAGCATAGACAAAACTTGATTTACAGAGAATTAAGAAGAAATAAGTATTTGGTACTTTTTCGTTATGCAAAAGGTACTTTTTGTATATTTTTTAATATTGAATATAAAAACCTGAAACCTGACCTAAAGTACCTAATAGGTACTTTTAAGTTCTTTAAACTTTACTATTAGAATAGTTGATAAAAATAAGAATATTTACAATTTCTTTGCTAGAAACTGCTGTTTACCGTGCTGTGACTTAAACTTATCACTCTAACCTTAAGGCTTTTAAAGTTTTTTATTTAAATTTTTAAAAATTTTCCCTCTCCCCTGTTTTCAGAGTTTTAAACATTGCTATAAGCAACCCTTGAAGAAGAAAAAAAAAATCAATAATAATTTCATAATAAAACATAATTACAGAGCAATTAAAGAAGCAACAAAAACTAATTTCTTGGCTCCAACATGTTTTTATAATATAATTTTTTTGTTAGTTCCAACACCCCCTCCCTCCCTCTGATGTACAAAAACACAACATAAATTTCAACACCCCTTCTTAAACAAAAAAATTTAAGACATACATACCCAACGCAAAAAAATAAAAAGAGAGTCATTTGTAATATTTTCATTTGGTTAATTTTGTGGTAAAACTGTAAAATAACAATAACAAAAAAAAATGGAAAGAAAAATTATGACTCACTCACCTGAACTTGTGTCGCACTAATGGCCATTAAAACCATTAAGCCTAAAGATAAAATCCTCAACATTTTTGGGGTTTTGACTAGTGTTGTTTTAATGGCGTAGTTGTTGTAAAAGATCCAATAAGAATATAGAGCTACGTTGGGGTTTTTTCTGTTTTTTTACTTATTTGAGCAACAATAAGCAAAAGAATTTTCTTTTTCTAGCAAACAGCAGCAGAGAGAAGTGACGTAAATTCGAGATTTTTTTTTTTTTTTGATGCGTTAATCCTTAAACACTTTGGTTTTATTTGTTGGTTTTAACTAATAATTATAAATATTTTTGGGGGTTTTTTAAAACTTTTAAATTTTTTATTTTGTTTTTTTTTAATATTTTTCTTTTTTGTTTCGTTTTAGCTAAAAAGTATTAAAAAAAAACTTTTTTTTTTGGCGTGGCACACCCCGAAAAAAAATTACTATTACTTTCCAACAACAGCACGACGACGCTTGCTCCCCTTAAACTCACTGCTTTAAGACGACTACTATATGATGGTATGGCAGCCTAGGGAGACCGCTTAAGCCAACAACAAAATAATGTATTTTTATATATATATACGTTTTCCACTAAATATTATAAACACGCAATGTTTTTGTTCAAAATTTAGAATTTTCTTTTAATTAAAGAAACATTTTGTCTGAATTTTTAAATAAATTTTTAAATGAATTTTTTTCTAACAAAATTTTTTTTTGTTAAAACAATATTCTTTTAACAATTTTTTACTTAATTAAAGAATTTCTTTTTACTTATTATTTTTTTTTTTTGGTTCGCTTATTAGTCACCGTCTTTATGTATGCTTTAAGATGCGTCTACAAAATCCGAGTGTTGTATGAAAAAATTTTGCACTCATCATTAACCTTTACGAGCCTTACAATTTTCAACACTCTCTAATAGGAATTTCGAATACCAATATTAAGTTCGAAAATTGAAGACTAAAAGGAAAAACCAAAAAAAAAAAAACAACAACAACCATCAGGGTTGCTTTGAAAAAGGACTAAAAACAGGGTTGCATTTTGTTGCCTCAAGTCAAAAAAAACTCTCTTCATATAAATATATTCCAAAAATTTAATCAACATTAAAAATAAACTTCCAAAATTTTCTTAAAATTTAAACAAATTTTAATATTTATCAATTTAATTTTCCAAAAATTTAAAACCGTTTTCGTTTCCTACTCTCTCTGTCTGTTTTACTCTCTTATCTCTTTTTTCGAACTTAGTCTTTTTATTCCCTCTCTCTTTCCTTTACCAAACACTTGTTATTGTCTTATTTTTTGTTGTTTTATTTTACTTTTTAACTTGGCAATCATTTCTACATATATTGGCTCTTTGTTTTAACCATAGAAAAACCCTTCGAAAAAATATATGTTCAAAACATCCCCTAATATTCTACAGCGGCGCACTAAAGTTACGTTATAATGCTAAAGGAATTTCATTACAAAAAACCCTCACCCTCTACACACAAACAACAACAGACACACTCTATTCTCTCACACTCACTTTAGGCTAGAATAAAAATAAAACAAAATCGAAAATTCCTAATAAAAAAACACAACTCAATCAGTTGTAACAAATAGTAATATAATATTAACCGCTACTTCTAAGTATTGAAAAATCAACCCTGAAAAAAAACAGTATTAAAACAGCATTAAGGTTGACGTCTCGGCTAAATAGCAACATAGAGGTGGTGTTATTAGCTAAAGGGGCAGAAAACAATGTTTCCAAACATTACAAAATTACAAAATTAGTCTATAGTCTAGTCTATAGTCTAGTCTATAGTCTAGTCTATAGTCTAGTCTATAGTCTAGTCTATAGTCTAGTCTATAGTCTAGTCTATACTATATATTATATACTATAGCCTAGTCTAAGGTCTGGACTATAATCTATTCTATAATCTGGGACTTCAGTATAGTCTGTATTCTGGACTATATACTGTATTATAGCCTAGTATAGTTTATAAGCTTCCTTATATTCCAGATTTTAGTCTGGAAAGTTTCTTATTTAATTGTAAAAAAAACTTCATTATATCTTTTTTTTATTTATTTTTAACTTCAATTTACACAATCAGTCTAAAATTATAATTTAATAATACTTATGAGTAGTTCTTCAGTTTTCCTAAAAACGGAAATACTTATCTACGCTAAATTACTCAGTGTAGCAGACTCCTCCTCTTCTACGAGTTTAGCCATTTGTAAATCTTCTGCTAAATTCAAACCTTCATTCGCCCCAGCTGATGTAACATCAATATTTAAAGGCATATTCGATTGTAAGGGTAAATCTAAAGAAGCTTCTGCTTCGACATTAGTTCGACCTTGAGCTAAAAATATCGAGTTTGAGGGATTGCCAGTAAAAGGTGCACCTGGTTGATAGGGTGAGGGGAAGCCGGTATTTTGTATATTAACAGGACACATGCAGGGTACAAATTCAACATTGGGAGGTAATTGGTTTTCCTCACTGCCTGGTCCAGAATTGGGTTTGTAGACTGAGTATTCGGGATAAGGATAAACAGGACGATTGTAGTTTATGTTGAAATGATTGGTGAAGACTTTGCGATTGAAAGCGGGATAGGTGGCTTCTATATTAACCAAGGCATCGGTTTGTATTAAGGGGGCCACGGTGGCTGGAGGATCTACTTGTACTGTAGTGGGAGCTTCGGTAGTGGTAGTTGTTGTAGTGGTGGGTTCAGGTGTGGTAGTCGTTGTGGTGGTAGTGGTTGTTGTAGTAGGCTCCGGTGTTGTGGTTGTGGTTATGGGCAAAGGTGCCGGTATTACTCCTCCCAGAGATCTTACCAAGTTAATACCTGCATATGTTTTCTCTGGTTTTATATCCACTAAAATTTCATTATTTGTAGGCATTCCTAAAGGCACTACCGGCAACATGGGATTTATATAGGGTGAATTACCCAAGGCTCCAAAATTTGTGATATAATCGGTGGAACTTAAAAGAGGAAACTGATTGGCGGGTAATGGCTGTTGATAGGTGTAAGTGCGAAAATAGGTTAAAGGTATTTGTTTCATTAAAGGAGGCGGTGGAGGTGGTGCTTCACTAAAACAGGAAAGAGAAGGATTAAGTCGAAGAGAGTATGGATTAAGAAACTGATTTTTAAACACTTACGTCGAGGTGGTGCGCCACCAAAAAGCTTGTGAAGGTAAGAAAATGGGTAATAAAAGCTGTAAGTTAAAGTAGAGTTATTTATTATAACAGATTTACAACTTTTCTCAAAAAGGAAGTAGCATTTAAAGGATCCTTAAAAAGTTTCCTTTCTATAACATTTTTCCTTTTGAAACCTTATGATTTCTTTTACAAAAAGGTGTCAAAATTTATCACAATTTTATTTAAATTTCTTTTGTTCTTTTTTTATTTTTCACACATACCACTAAAATTCTTAACACTTTGCTGCACATGTTTATTTAATTTTTCCAATATTTATTCCAAGTTGAAAATCCTTTTGTTAAAAAAAATTACAAAATTTAACTTGTTTTTCCCACACAACAAAATTTGTCTTATTTGTTCTTGACTCTTTCACAGTTATTGTAATTCTAAAATCGTTTCGTAACAATAACCAACATTTATACACACGCAACGCTAAAGAAAAAAAAGAATACTTTTCTTATTTTCCCAATAAAAAAAAATCCTAAAATTAATTTACCATTTAACAGCCACAACAAAAAAAAGTTACCAAAAAAGAAAAGAAAAATAAACAATACTATAAGATCAATATACAAGTTGTTTAAGAAAAACAACAACAACAGCAATTTCAAAAATTAACAAATAATAGAACTAATAAACAAACACATGCCACAAATCAATGATCCATAGAAGAATGTTAAAGTCCAATAGGAAAATGTTAAGAGCACAAAAAAAACCAACAAAACCAAATAAACAGAACAAAGTAAATAAAGAAAAGACAAATTTGATTACAAAAGGGGGAACCGAAAAGAGAAAAATTTGTTTTAAGTGATCTATAGTTAAAGTCTAGTTTGAACTCTAGACTACCTAGTAGTCCACTCCGGAAACTAAGTTATAATCAAAAACAGACTGGTCTATAGTCTGGCATACAGTGCGGCCTATAGTTTGGTATATAGTCTGGTTAATAGACAGGTATACGGCCTAGACTATAGTCTGGTCTATTGTCAAGTCTAAAGGCTAATCTATAGTTAGGTCTATATTTTGGTCTATAGTCTAGACAATAGTTTGCTGATCTGATAGTCTATAGTCTAGAATTCAGACTGTACTATAGTCTAGTCTATAGTATTGCCTATAGTCTTAAATATAGTCTGGTCTATTGGATGAACCATCTATTGTATTGTCTATAATATGTATATTTTATGGTCTCGTCTATAGTTTCGTCAATAGTTTGGTTTATAGTCTAGTCTATAGTCTGGTCTATAGTATAGGCTCTAGTCTGGTCTATAACTTGATCTATAGCCTAATCTATAGTCACATCTATAGTATGATCTATACTCTGTCCTATAATCTGATTTATAACTTGGTCTATAGTCTGGTATATAGTTTGGTCTACAGAATGTCCTTTAGTCTGGTCTATGGAATGATCTATCTATATACTTGTCTATAGTCTATTATATAGTATGGTCCATAGTTTCGTCAATAGTCTGGTCTATAGTCTAGACTTTAATCTAGTCTATGAGATGAACCATCTATAGTCTTGTCTATAGTGTATTTTATGGTCTGGTCCACAGTTTCGTCAATAGTCTTGTTTATAGCCTGGTCTATAATATAATGTATAGTATGATCTATAGTCTGACTATAATCTAGTCTATAGTCAGCTCTATAACTTGATCTTGATCTCTAGTCTGATCGATAGTCTAGAATATAGACTATACATAGTTTAGACTATAGCAATATTTATACTGTTAACTATAATATAGTGTTTTACAGTTATTACTTTGTCTCCATCTACTAAATATACAATTTATGATCAGTTAGTATACAGCTGCTAAAACCTAAAGAAAATTAATGGAAATTGACACATTTTGAAACTTAAAACAATATAAACAAAGTCTTGCAGAACATTTTTTATTAATTTGTTAAAAGATCAAACAAATTTCTTATGTTAAACAGTAAAAGAGAAAATTTTCTTTGAAGTAAAACTCCAAAAAGAAAGACAAATTTAACAGAAAAGCTATTTAATTTGTATTGGAATTTTTTGTATTTACTTTTTGTAATCCTACAAGTTCTTTGTAGGAGCAAAGGGAACTTAAGTATAAGAGAAACACTTAGATGTTTTCCTTAGATTTGTAATTTATTTTCTTAGTTAAAGTAAATTTTATATACAATTAATTTTGTACTTAAAGTAATTGTTTAGATAACTAGAATCTAGAAATTATATAAAATTAATATGTTCCCCATATAACGATCTTCCTTGTGGCTGTAAGGTGGGTTTAGTGGTTTCCTTGGGTTGAATTTCTCTTTTAAGTAAATCTTGTATCTTGCCCGGAGAACTTTGTATGTATTTGGAGGAGTGCAGATTATTGGCATTTGTCTTGAGAGGGCCTTTGTATCTGAAAGAATAATTAAATCTTTAGTTGGTTCTCGAGCTAGGGTATCACTTTCTTACCTTGAATTTAATATAAACCAAGTATCCTCATTTGATTTGTTTAGCAAACTATCATTCTCTTCCTTAATAGCGGAATCTATATACTTGTCAATCCTCTGCTGTTCTATGGTGACATCAGCTTCTTCCTTTCTAGTCTCCTGTAGGCTTGGAGTGTTATCCTCCTTTTCCATTAGCTTAGACATGGTGTAAAGCGGGAAAGCATAATAATTTTGGTCAATATTATAGCTCTCATAGGGCAGAGGAGCCTGTGTCGTGGTAAATTGTGTAGTTTGTATATTAAGAGGACGCTCCAGGTGAGGGGTATCATCCTCATAGGTAATTTGAAACTTATCCTCACCATCATTGTAGGTGACTTCAAATTTCTTGTGAGGTAAAGGTGTGGTCATGGGAGTAGTTATGGGAGGAGCATTATTTAGTCTATGGTTGTTATAAGGTTTCTCTAAAGTTAAGGGAGAATTGGTGGTGTATTCTATTTGAAAGTTATACTGAGAAAGCTCGGTTATGGGTTGCGATAGCACTTCTTGGGGAGAAAAGAAGGCCGAGTATTTTTTAGGCTTTTTCAGTTTTTTCGACGCTTTAAAAGGGCTGGAGGGGGAGGAGGAGTAGTAGGGAGAGCTGGAGGTTGAAGTCATGTCTAGATTGTGTTGTCTAGGATCTATGGCCTCATAAGCATAGAAAGGTATCATGGTGACATTAATCTTCTGCTGGAAATTTTCCACTAAAGGTTGAGGTTTAAACACTAAAGTCTGAGGTGGATAGAGTACTTGGCCCGGTACCGGTTCCTGCATGGGATATTTACGTTTACTTAACATGGTATTAAGCAACATGCGTCCCTTATTGCCGGTATAAATAAATATGGGTCGTGAGGGGGTATAGGCCTCTTCCCCCGGCACAGCATCAAATACCGGAAGATTTTGTATAAATTTCGAATTTTGATATCTTCTAGAGGAAACACGTAAATTGGAATCACTGGATTTTCTTAAAGGAATATAATTACGTGGTAATTGTAATCCTTGATAATTGTTAATATAACTTATACGTTTTTGGGCCTTAGTTTTAAAATTCTTATAATTCCTTTTTTGTATTTCATGATTATTTATTTCTTGTAATTTTTTCGTCATTCTATTATTATAATATAAATGCTTTATATTTTCATAAATAGGTTTTTCTTTCATTTCACTTTGTTTTAACACTTTATCACTTTTCTCATCTTGTAATATCCACAAAGGACGTTCACTGTTTAAATAATAGGTCCCGGTTTGTAAAGTTTTATAATTTCCTTTATTTTTATTTAAAACAGCTGTTGTTGTTAAAATTTGTATTAAATAAAATATAATAAATTTATTAAACCACATTATTCTGTTCTTTAAGTTCTTGTTAATTCGTTGGCTTTTGTTTAATTGAAAGTAAATTTTGTTTTGTTTTTAGTTTATATTAAGAAAATTTGTTAAATTTCTTTTTTTTATTGCCAAAATTTTAACTATATTTTAGCCGGTTTTTGGCTATAAAATTGTTCTGAAAACACTTTCATTTGTGGGAACTTTTATTAAATGTTTTGTTTCTCTAGTTCTTGTTTTGCTTAACAAGCTCTACTAACATGGTTTTATAAACCATTTAATAAACGTTGTAAAAAAATCATTAAAGTAAGCTTCATAAAAATTCATAAACAAAATAAAAAATCTTGGTCAAAAAACTAAAGGCACCCGTTAAGGCAAAACATTATAAAAAATTTAAAAACAACAGAACTTGTTTTAAATTATGTTTAATAAAAAGAAAAATTTTTAAAACTTAATTAAACTGCAAAAATTGGTTTATACATTTTTTTAAAAAAGTAAAATAGTATAAAGCAAAAACTTGCCGTGTTCAAAGGTTCAGTAACTTTAAAATCTATTAATATCACTTAAAATTTGAAAATATCAAAAAAATATACAAAACAAAAGACTTAAGACACATGCTAAACTAGGACAAATAGCCTGTAATGATAGACTATGTACTAGACTTTAAGCAAGACTATTGACAGGACTATAGACTAGACTATAGACTAGACTATAGACTAGACTATAGACTAGACTATAGACTAGACTATAGACTAGACTATAGACTAGACTATAGACTAGACTATAGACTAGACTATAGACTAAACTATAGACTAGACTATAGACTAGACTATAGACTAGACTATATACTAGACTATAGACTAGACTATAGACTGGACTATAGACTAGACTATAGACTAGACTATAGACTAGACTATAGACTAGACTATAGACTAGACTATAGACTAGACTATAGACTAGACTATAGACTAGACTATAGACTAGACTATAGACTAGACTATAGACTAGACTATAGACTAGACTATAGACTAACTATAGACTAGACTATAGACTAGACTATAGACTAGACTATAGACTAGACTATAGACTAGACTATAGACTAGACTATAGACTAGACTATAGACTAGACTATAGACTAGACTATAGACTAGACTATAGACTAGACTATAGACTAGACTATAGACTAGACTATAGACTAGACTATAGACTAGACTATAGACTAGACTATAGAACTAGACTATAGACTAGACTATAGACTAGACTATAGACTAGACTATAGACTAGACTATAGACTAGACTATAGACTAGACTATAGACTAGGACTATAGACTAGACTATAGACTAGACTATAGACTAGACTATAGACTAGACTATAGACTAGACTATAGACTAGACTATAGACTAGACTATAGACTAGACTATAGACTAGACTATAGACTAGACTATAGACTAGACTATAGACTAGACTATAGACTAGACTATAGACTAGACTATAGACTAGACTATAGACTAGACTATAGACTAGACTATAGACTAGACTATAGACTAGACTATAGACTAGACTATAGACTAGACTATAGACTAGACTATAGACTAGACTATAGACTAGACTATAGACTAGACTATAGACTAGACTATAGACTAGACTATAGACTAGACTATAGGCTAGACTATAGACTAGACTATTGACTAGACTATAGACTAGACTATAGACTAGACTATACACTAGACTATAGACTAGACTATACACTAGACTATAGACTAGACTAGATCAGACAATATATTATAAATAGACCAGACTTTAGTATAACAATTATACCAGATTATACACCAGAAAATAGACCAAACTATAGTCCAAACTATAGTCCAAACTATAGACACAAACTTTTTTCAAAAAAATCGAAAATTTCGTTGTAATCCTTATTTTTTATACATTAATTATAAAACCATAAATTTCTACTTAATTAAGGGTTCGAGTAATTTCTTTTACTAAAGCGTGAAAATTTCCTAAAGATTAACAAAAAAAACTAAATTCTTTTTTATAAAACTTTAATAAAACACATTAAAATTCGATTAAAAATCAATTTTCATGCTCCAGATTTAAAATTATTAAATAAAATAAGGAAAAATTTTCAATTTCCTGCTTGTCTTAGAACAAAAAAGAAACATGTTAAAGATTAACAAATATATTTTCTAATTACCAAGACAAACCTAAACAGGCGAGACAACAAAAACCCTTCTTAAGCAATAGCTTATAGATCAATCAAATATGAATGTTTAAGAAAAAGCCGATTTTTTTTTTGTTTAAACACACGCACTTAAGTTTAAATTTAACAACAAATTGTTATATGTAACATTTATATTGTTGTTGTAGATATTTGAGGTTTTACAAGACATTAAGAATGAAAGAAAAAAACATAAAACAACAACAAGTGATTCATAAAAATAATGTAGTTACAAGTATAAAGACTTGTTGCACTTGATATGTTGTCTGATTAGGGTTTTGTAGGTTTTTCTGTGTGATTTGTTTAAGGCTGTTAACCTTTTCTAGCTTAATAAGTTTTTGTGTAAACATTTGACCCTTATTTTAAGTATTATTTTCTTTAAGCTTTTTATATAGGTTTTAAAAACTTTTAAAAACAAGAATTTTTTTAAAAAGCTTCAATATTATGCCACACAAGTGAAATTAAAGAATTTTTTCTTATTCTTAAACAAATCAAAAATTTTTCCCATAGATTAGGTTTCGTATAAGGGAATAGATTTTTATGTCAGAACATTATTTAAGATATGTAGTTTAAACCCACAATATCTTTTTGATTAATAACAGTTTTGACAGCTGGTATAAGGTACACAATTGCTTTTGAAACAAACAGACAACAACAACAAAAAGTATGTTAAACATGTTCGCTTAGACCTAAACAAAAACCATATGAAATCAGTCATTGTTTCCAAAAACAAAATATGAATGATATTTATAACAGGAGTTGGCTACAGTAGCTTTTATTATGGGGGGAATTTTTCTTTGGATATTTATTAGGTTTTACTTTGTTGTTTTTATTAAGACACTTTAAAAGGTTTGTTTTTTACTTTGTTTTATTTTCTATACTTTAAGATTGCGTGTTTGTGTTTTGCTTTTGGTTTTTAGGAAAACTAAATTAATAAAAGAAAACCAGGTAAATATAAGATTTGTTATGCATTTTTAATTGACGCTGCACATGCATTTTCATTTCATTTCAGCTTTTTTTTATTTAATTGAAACTACTAAACAGTTAGTGTTGTATGCAACATAAAATTGTAAAACAAAAAAAAATTGTAGCCAAAAAGTACATATTTGTTTTATAATTTAAATATTTTTCTTTTATTTTTATCTTTATGTTTCTAGGAATCGTTGTAATTTAACTTTTAAATTAAGTTTTTAGTACCAATAAATTTACACATACTATGTTTATAACTATCATTAAGTGTGATATAATATTACCAAGAAATTAGTTGTTTTTAATTAAATGTTAAGTAACACATTGAATAATATTAATGGGTTTTGTTTGAAACATAAATAACGAAATGTTACTCAAAGAGAATTTTAATTCTATTTTAAAAATGTTCGAAATAAGCAAATAAATCAAGTTTTCAAATAAATGAGAGGTTTATTGAAGAAATTTAAATATGTTTCATGGAAAAAATTACATAATTGTAGGGAACTAAATGCAGTCTACATAATTGTAGGGAACTAAAATGCAGTCTAGTCTATAGTCTAGTCTATAGTCTAGTCTATAGTCTAGTCTATAGTCTAGTCTATAGTCTAGTCTAGTCTATAGTCTAGTCTAGTCTATAGTCTAGTCTATAGTCTAGTCTATAGTCTAGTCTATAGTCTAGTCTATAGTCTAGTCTATAGTCTAGTCTATAGTCTAGTCTATAGTCTAGTCTATAGTCTAGTCTATAGTCTAGTCTATAGTCTAGTCTATAGTCTAGTCTATAGTCTAGTCTATAGTCTAGTCTATAGTCTAGTCTATAGTCTAGTCTATAGTCTAGTCTATAGTCTAGTCTATAGTCTAGTCTATAGTCTAGTCTATAGTCTAGTCTATAGTCTAGTCTATAGTCTAGTCTATAGTCTAGTCTATAGTCTAGTCTATAGTCTAGTCTATAGTCTAGTCTATAGTCTAGTCTATAGTCTAGTCTATAGTCTAGTCTATAGTCTAGTCTATAGTCTAGTCTATAGTCTAGTCTATAGTCTAGTCTATAGTCTAGTCTATAGTCTAGTCTATAGTCTAGTCTATAGTCTAGTCTATAGTCTAGTCTATAGTCTAGTCTATAGTCTAGTCTATAGTCTAGTCTATAGTCTAGTCTATAGTCTAGTCTATAGTCTAGTCTATAGTCTAGTCTATAGTCTAGTCTATAGTCTAGTCTATAGTCTAGTCTATAGTCTAGTCTATAGTCTAGTCTATAGTCTAGTCTATAGTCTAGTCTATAGTCTAGTCTATAGTCTAGTCTATAGTCTAGTCTATAGTCTAGTCTATAGTCTAGTCTATAGTCTAGTCTATAGTCTAGTCTATAGTCTAGTCTATAGTCTAGTCTATAGTCTAGTCTATAGTCTAGTCTATGGTCTAGTCTATAGTCAAGTCTATAGTCTAGTCTATAGTCTAGTCTATAGTCTAGTCTATAGTCTAGTCTATAGTCTAGTCTATAGTCTAGTCTATAGTCTAGTCTATAGTCTAGTCTATAGTCTAGTCTATAGTCTAGTCTATAGTCTAGTCTATAGTCTAGTCTATAGTCTAGTCTATAGTCTAGTCTATAGTCTAGTCTATAGTCTAGTCTATAGTCTAGTCTATAGTCTAGTCTATAGTCTAGTCTATAGTCTAGTCTAGTCTATAGTCTAGTCTATAGTCTAGTCTATAGTCTAGTCTCTAGTCTAGTCTCTAGTCTAGTCTCTAGTCTAGTCTCTAGTCTAGTCTCTAGTCTAGTCTCTAGTCTAGTCTCTAGTCTAGTCACTAGCCTAGTCTCTTGTCTAGTCTCTAGTCTAGTCTCTAGTCTAGTCTCTAGTCTAGTCTTTAGTCTAGTCTCTAGTCTAATCTCTAGATAGATTAGACAGTCTAGTGTCTAATCTATAAATTCATTGATTTTTTGTATACCGACTTTCCTCTTTCAATCTCTTTACAAAGTTCTTCGCTTAAATCTTTTGATTAAGTATTTACAACAAGTTCTTAAACTTTAGTTTATTAATCAAATCTTTTGTTTAGTAATTTGTTTAACCAAAACTAAAGGTGTTAAGAAAATCAGTCAGAAAATTAATAGTTTATTTTTTTTTTTTTAACTAGAGAAAATCCTACAAACTTTCACTTATTAAGTTACAAAAATTAATCAGTTAAAGTATATTTTCGATTAAAGACATTTTTCAGTTGTAGTAACTGATTAAAGTTGTTTGTTTGTTACGACTTTAACAAATTACTTTAACAATGTTCTAAAACTGATAAAAACCAAACGATTAAAGAAATTTTGTGACAAAACTTATTCATTTAAAGAATTTAAAATAAATATGGGTCTTGGGTCTTGGTTTTATATTAATGACAAATTGTTGAAAAATATAAATAAAATACCTTAACGGTTTTTTAATTTTAAAAATAAACAAATAAAAAATGTTCAAACTTTTTTTAAAAACTTAATTTTGCTCCTTTTGTTTTCCCCACAAAATAGAGTTAATTTTCTATATAAAATTTAAATAAATAACAAATTTATTTTATAAAGAAACTACTAATAATTCCTGTAACAGTAAATACTCTTTCCTTTAACTTAATTATATTATAAATAGAAAATTGAATAGCGAAAATAGCAAGAAAATTGTTTAAAAATTTATTAAAACAATGCGTGTGTGTTGCTTTGTTGTTTTACGCATATAAAACATTTAAAATTGTTTATGGAATGACTTGTGATAATAATTGAAAGCATTTCCGTTTGGCTGAGTTTCTTTAAAAGAAAATAAGGCTTCCGTTATGGTTTTGCCACAAACAAATTAAACAAACATTTTAAATTAAAATATTAAGTTTTAAAATGAATATAATTATTAAATAAAATTTTAAAAATAAATAAAACACCCACCAAGTTTTTGGCAAACAAAAACGAAAAAAAAGAAGAGACTCTTTAAAACCTAATAAAACTGAATGAAACCTAAAAGCAAATAATAAAAAATACAAAAAAGTAAAGCCTGAAAAACTCGGTTGCAACTCACTGATCATGCCTCACTGCTATTTTGTTTTTTTACACATTATTTTTACCTGCCACTAAAACTCACACAAAACATAACTAAGGAAGTAAGTTTTTGTTCGAAAGAAATATTGGCCAAATTGTTTAGTATTTCAAACCTCCTCCCTCCCCCTTTTAAAGTGTTAAAAATTTTCTCACTTCAAGTTATAAAAACTCTTGTTTAAGCCAATTTATTAATCATTTTTTGTGTTACAGTTGTTGTGTGAAGTTTAACATTTTTTTGTTTTCTAATTACTTTTCTTTTTTCCCTTTTTGAAAAATTATAAAGAAAAAATAACAAGTTTTTAAAAAAAGTTAAACTAGATAAAGTTTTTTTCCTCATCCTCTTTTTGGAAAAATCAGTAAAATGAACAGTCGAGTGATGGTAAGGACTCGATGGAGAAAAAGTATTTTGTTAAAAAAAAGAAAGAAAAAAATATATGTATTTTTATAATTCATTCATAGTTGTGGAAAATTTTCGTTGTTATTGGCATGGCGTTATTAATGTATGCAAATTATGCGGAAGCTGGGTGAGTAAAACTCAAAAGAAACGGAAGTGACAAAGAAATTACCCAGAGAAATTATTAAAAAAGAGAAAAGTGTGTTGTTTAAATAAAAACTAGTTTATTAATTCTCTGAAACTGTAAAAATGTTTAACATAAACAAAAGACTTAAACAACAAACCTAGTTTGCTAACAAGCATTTTCCCTAGAATGTAAACATTAAGCGGCAGGCTTAAAGCGTAAAAAATCAACAAAATAACATCAATAACAAATTAGTTAGAGTCCAGACTATAGACCAGTCAGACTAGGTCAGACTATAGACTAGACTATACACTTAACTATAGACTTGACTATAGACTAGACAATAGACTAGACTATAGACTAGACTATAGACTAGACTATAGACTAGACTATAGACTAGACTATAGACTAGACTATAGACTAGACTATAGACTAGACTATAGACTAGACTATAGACTAGACTATAGACTAGACTATAGACTAGACTATAGACTAGACGATAGACTAGACTATAGACTAGACTATAGACTAGACTATAGACTAGACTATAGACTAGACTATAGACTAGGCTATAGACTAGACTATAGACTAGACTATAGACTAGACTATAGACTAGACTATAGACTAGACTATAGACTAGACTATAGACTAGACTATAGACTAGACTATAGACTAGACTATAGACTAGACTATAGACTAGACTATAGACTAGACTATAGACTAGACTATAGACTAGACTATAGACTAGACTATAGACTAGACTATAGACTAGACTATAGACTAGACTATAGACTAGACTATAGACTAGACTATAGACTAGACTATAGACTAGACTATAGACTAGACTATAGACTAGACTATAGACTAGACTATGGGCCAGGCTAAACTATAGACTAGACTAGACTATAGACTATAGGCTAGACTATAGACTATAGGCTAGACTATAGACTATAGACTAGACTATAGACTAGACTATAGACTAGACTATAGACTAGACTATAGACTAGACTATAGACTAGACTATAGACTAGACTATAGACTAGACTATAGACTAGACTATAGACTAGACTATAGACTAGACTATATACTAGACTATAGACTAGACTATAGACTAGACTATAGACTAGACTATAGACTAGACTATAGACTAGACTATATACTAGACTATAGACTAGACTATAGACTAGACTATAGACTAGACTATAGACTAGACTATAGACTAGACTATAGACTAGACTATAGACTAGACTATAGACTAGACTATAGACTAGACTATAGACTAGACTATAGTCTAGACTATAGACTAGACTATAGACTAGACTATAGACTAGACTATAGTTTAGACTATAGTTTAGACTATAGACTAGACTATAGACTAGACTATAGACTAGACTGTAGACTATAGACTAGACTATAGACTATAGACTAGACTATAGACTAGACTATAGACTAGACTATAGACTAGACTATAGACTAGACTATAGACTAGACTATAGACCAGACTATAGACTAGACCATAGACTATACTGTAGACTAGACTATAGTCTGTAGACAAAACTATAAACCAGATTAAAGACTAAACTATATTCCAGACTATAGACTAAACTATAGTCCAGAATATAGACTAAGCTTTAGTCTAGATTATAGACTAAACTTTAGTCCAGACTAAAGACTAAACTATAGTTCAGACTTTAAACTATAGTCCAGACTATAAACTAAGCTATTGTGCAGACTATAGACTAAACTATATTCCAAACTATAGACTAAATTATAGTCCAGACTATAGACTAAACTACTACTGTAGATTAAACTATAGTCCAAACTATAGTCCATACTGTAGACTAAACTATAGTCTAGACTATAGTCTAAACTAAAGTCCAGACTATAGTATTAACTAACTATATACTATAAACTTGACTCCTCTTGACTTCAGACTCCTCACTAGACTGGGGCATAGTCTTTCTTTTACTAACCTAAAACAAAACACTTTAAAATCTCATTAAAATGAAGTTAAAAACCACTAACAACTTCAAATTACTTCTTCATCTTTCCCTACCAGCAAACATCAAAAGAAGAAAAAAATCGTCATACACGTACCCATCCATAAAAAGATCGAAAAACATACACACACCGTCATCAAACACATCCATCATCATCACAAACCGATTGTTCTCAAAGAGGAAAAGAAAATCATCGAGGAGCATCATCATCCGGTTATAAAAAAGGAACAAGTCTCACATGAACATCATCATCATCATGAGGCAAAACATGAACATCAACACAAACATAAGCATGTAGAACCGGTTAAGGAATATGAGGAGGATCATGAAGAGGAACATGTACATCATCATCATAATTATGAGCATAAGTCACATGATGAGGAAGTCGATGATGATTTTATAGAAACAAGGCATTAGTTTTTTATAAAGTTATAAAGGACATTAGTTTAATAGTGAAAATAAATAATAAGTTATATTTAATTGAAAGTAATGTAAAATAATATTTAAAATTAGTAAAAAGTTAAAAATTAGTTATTTGTTACAAAATAAACAGAATGCTAAAAAATATTTTATGATAAAACGGGTTGTTTACTTTTTGTATAAGTTTATGTGTTATTATGCTACACCCTGTTGATAAAACAGTGCCAACAGCTGTTATGTGTCGTTTAGGCAGTTTTGACAACAACAACATGTGTTTATGTTTATTGTACAAACAGAGAGCAAAAAGAAAAAACGTGCGTTTGCTGCTGCAGAGAATTTGTGTGATTTTTACATTTTTATAAATTTATGTAAAATTTTATAGAAAAAATGGGTAAAAAAGTGTATAATGCTAAGGCTAGACAAAATCCGCAAACTATAGTGGATAATTCTGGTTTAAAAGATGTAAGTAATTTTATTTTTCCCTGAATTTCTGAGAATTAATTTTTTGTTGGGCAACAGGTAAAATTGGAATTATCAGAATTGGCTGAGGGCTCCGGAGCTGGTTATGATGAATCGAATGCTTTGATATTGCCCTCCCAAAAACGGGCCACTAAAATTAAAGTGGAGCACCGACAAAATGTGAAAATCTTGACCAAAAAGCAAAGAAAACATTTGCAGGCCATAGTGGATAAGAAAAAGAAGAAGGAAGGGGTGAGTTTTTATTACATTTGTAAAAAATTGTTAATTAAAATATTTCTTTATAAAGCGCGCCGGTTTATTGGAAGCCTTGGCCAAGGTGCAAGTTTCTGAGACAGAATTGAAACAGTATACTTCCATCAGTCAGGTGCAAACAGTGGGTGTTAAAAAATTAGATTCTTTAGAAGAATTAATGGCCAAAAAACAACAAAGACAACAAAATGTAAAAGTGGCTGTAGGTGGCAAAATAAGTTCCATTAAAGGGGCAGCCAAACGGAAGCTTTTACTAGAAGAAGAGGCTGAGTTAAATGCCAAACGTAAAAATCCCAATATAGTGGGTATGGAAGAGGATGATGATGATGAAACCACAGATGAGGAAGACGAGGAGGAGGAAGAAGAGGAGGAGCCTAAGGCAGAAATTAAAGAAATAACAGAAAAAATCGATGCAAAAGAACAGCAAATAATCCAGGAAGAAAAGCCCACAAAATCTAAAAAACTTGAGGAAACTCCTAAGAAGGAAACTCCCAAATCATTAGCCCCTGCCAGACCCACTGTTTATGTGCCCGTAGTACGTGATCCCGAAATTCAGGCGGCCCGTTTAAAATTGCCCATATTGGCAGAAGAACAACAAGTAATGGAGGTCATTAATGAAAACAATATTATAATAGTTGCTGGTGAAACAGGTTCTGGTAAAACTACCCAAATACCTCAATTCCTCTATGAAGCAGGTTACTGTGAAAATGGTAAATTAATAGGCATAACAGAGCCAAGACGTGTGGCCGCCATAGCCATGTCTAAACGTGTGGGTCAGGAAATGAATCTGAGCGAAAAGGAGGTATCCTATCTTATACGTTTTGAGGGTAATGTTACACCGGAAACTAAAATCAAATTCATGACCGATGGTGTCTTACTCAAGGAAATTGAATCGGACTTTTTACTCAAAAACTATTCGGTTATTATATTGGATGAGGCTCACGAAAGAAGTTCTTATACTGACATTTTGGTGGGTCTTCTATCCAGAATAGTACCGCTAAGACTTAAGAGAGGAGGCAATCCTTTGAAATTGATTATTATGTCGGCCACTTTGCGGGTAGAAGATTTCACCTCCAACTCGAGATTATTTAAAATTCCTCCTCCTTTAATAAAAGTGGAAGCCAGGCAGTTTCCAGTGACCATACATTTCCAAAAACGTACTCCGGATAATTATGTAGAAGAGGCCTATAGGAAAACAGTGAAGATCCATTCCAAACTACCAGAAGGTGGTATCTTAATCTTTGTCACCGGCCAGCAGGAAGTTAACCAATTGGTGCGCAAGTTAAGAAGGACTTTCCCCTACAAAAAGCTGGATGACAATAAAAAAGAACAGAACGAGGATAAAGCTACCAAAAAAGAAGAGGAAGAAGTTGGGGCCCAAGACAAACCTGATACCGATGATGAATTTGATATGAAGCGTGCCATACGCAATGTACGCAAATCGAAAAAGAAGTTTTTGTCCCAATTGGCTTTACCCAAAATCAATTTAGATGATTACAAACTACCTGGTGATGATACTGAGGCCGATTTATTGGAGAATCAAGATTCTGATGCAGAAAATGCTGATCCAGAAGTAGATGATTTAGATGATGAAGAGGATGATGAAAATCCTAATGTTATGGATGAGGATGTGGCTGCCTCTACTACCAAACAACCTTTATGGGTTTTACCTTTGTACTCCTTGCTGTCCTCAGAAAAACAGAATCGCATTTTCCAGCCTGCACCCGAGGGTACACGTGTTTGTGTGGTTAGCACCAATGTGGCCGAAACTTCTTTGACTATACCCAACATCAAGTATGTGGTGGATTGTGGCAAACAAAAGACCCGTCTGTATGACAAAATTACCGGTGTTAGTGCTTTTGTGGTAACTTATACTTCTAAAGCTTCAGCAGATCAAAGAGCCGGCCGTGCTGGTAGAGTTAGTGCTGGCCACTGTTATAGACTTTATTCCAGTGCTGTGTACAATGATGAATTTGAGGATTTCTCAGTGCCTGATATACAAAAGAAACCGGTTGATGATTTAATGCTGCAAATGCGTTGCATGGGCATAGACCGTGTTATAAACTTCCCTTTTCCTTCACCACCCGATACAGTACAACTGCAGGCTGCAGAAAAACGTTTAGTTATCTTAGGGGCCTTGGAAAAAGTTACTGAGCCCTCGTCTTCACTTAAAGATATACCACCTAAAGTTTCCCGTTTGGGTCACATCATTTCCAGATTTCCTGTAGCTCCTCGTTTTGGCAAAATGTTGGCTTTGTCTCATCAACAAAATCTTTTATCCTACACCGTGTGTTTGGTGGCTGCTTTATCGGTGCAGGAGGTTTTAATGGAAGTTAATTTTGATCGTGAAAAAGATGAGGCCGCTCTTACATTGGGCAAATGGCAAAAGAAAAGACAGTCATGGGCTTCTACTGGCAATTACCAATTACTGGGTGATCCCATGGTTTTGTTAAGGGCAGTGGGTGCTGCTGAATATGCCGGCTCGAAGGGGGAACTGGTAAAATTCTGTGCTGAAAATGGCTTAAGACATAAAGCCATTACCGAAGTGCGTAAGCTGAGAGTACAATTGACTAATGAAATTAATTTAAGCATTAATAATGTTGACCTCAGTGTGGACCCCTCTATGGCACCTCCCTCTGATGCTCAAGCTAGATTTTTAAGACAAATTCTTTTGGCCGGCATGGGTGACAAAGTAGCACGCAAAGTTTCTTTAGCGGATATAAGTGATAAAGAGGAAAAGCGTAGACTTAAATATGCTTACAACTGCTTGGATATGGAAGAACCGGTATTTATGCACTCCTCCTCCGTGCTCAAACAAAAACTACCCGAATGGGTTATATACCAAGAAGCCTATGAAATACAAAATGGTGATTCTACAAAAATGTTTATAAGAGGCATTACCGCCATAGAACCAGAATGGTTGTTGCTGTATGCTCCCTTATTGTGCAATATTAGAAGCATTAAAGAGGAGCCTTTACCCCGCTACAAAGCCGAAGAGGGTAAGGTTTATTGTTTTGTGGATGCCACCTTTGGCAAGGCCGGCTGGGAGTTGCCGTTAACAGAAATTGAAATGCCTATGGAGGAAAAGGCTTTTTGGTGAGTATTTTTTTTTTAGTTTAAAAAGTTAGAAGAAAAATTAAAACTGTTTTTATTTATTTTCCAGTTATTTTGCCATGTTTGTGTTGGATGGTCAGGTGTGTCCTCAACTTTTACCTTTTAAATCGAAATTGAAATCTACACCCTCTTCCTTAACCAAAAGTTGGTCTAATTTGAATGAAAATATTATGAAATTCAAAAGATGCTTTATGTCTAAACGTATAAATACCAGGGAGAAGCTATTGGAAGCCTGGAAAAATAATCCTAATTGTAAGTTATAATTTTTGAAAGAAATTTAAAGTAATGTTTCTTGAATTTGTTTAATTTATAAAAATTTTCTTTTTTTCCTTTCAGTCCTTTTGGAAGAATACCACAATATGTTGTATGATGTTTCCCTGTCAGAATTGACGCCCATATGGCCACCCACCAAATTAGATTAGTTGATTTTTAAGAGAATTTGAAAAATACTTTTAATTTTATAAAAATGTTGAATAAGAAATGAAATAAAATTAACAAAATATTAAAATTAATTATAATCTTTTATGTGTTAAAGCAAAAATCCTAAGTTCCAAAGAGTAACATTAACAGAGTTTTTATAAAAAAGAAAGATACAAAGGTAGAAGTAGCTTTCCGGACTAAAAAAGCCCTTTGTGGAGCTAAAATAACTAATAATACTTGGTCTCTTCCATAATAAATTGAGGAATCTGCTGGAGTATGTTGTATACCTTCATAAGGACAAGGATGTATGTTTTTATAATAGAATATGATAGTATCTTTTCTCTTATTGATTCCCCACAAACAGTTTGTAAAGGGATACATCGTGACTTTCTCTTGTCTCACTCTTAACAGCTGACAACCTATTGTACCCAACCAGACACCTTCTTTCTTAAATTATTTCAACATTTGTATTCCTACAAGACTTCTGACTAGTGTACTAATTGACTAGAGATATAAGTTACTAATTTTTTGAAAAATATCTTCTTCCGAGAGAATTTTTCTAGCAAGCCAAGTTCCAAAGTACATGGGAATCTCAAGTCAACAAAAACCTTAAAATATATTTAAAAAGACACTTACCTTAACTGCTGTCACGTATTTGCAAGTGGAAATAGATTTGTAAAGCTGCAGCTCACTTATAGCAGATGATTTTGTGTTTAAACCGGGCCAAAAGGACATTCACCATTGTCTCGGCTTGATAGAATCTACCACAATTGTAATTTTTAGCTTTGCTTTTAAAAACCCTTATATTTTTTTCTTCTATTTTATTTTTTCTTCTATTATTGATTGGAGAACTACTAGTGACCATTCACCACTGACCCGGACACATGGGGGCTCCCACACACATGATTTTTTGCTTTACTTTAAAAACCTTTGAATTTTTATTTAATTGATATTTTCATCACGCATATTCTTTATATTTTCAATTTACTTTATTAAAACACCTGTGGCTTTCATTATTTAGCTTATTTTTTAATTTTTTTTTTCTTTTGCTAATTTACCTTTGCAAACTTTGACTACCACACCAAGCCACTTTTTACATGATATTTTTACCATTAAAAAACACTTTACTTTCTACACAAACACTTTCACTTAATACTAAATATTTTATTTAATACATTTTTTATAATTTTATTAAATTATTTCAGCTTTAACTTTATTTTTTGAAATTTAACAAATTTACTGACAAATTTTACACTACCGAACGCAAGCGTCACCATTTTTTTGTGATATTTTCTTTCTCACTCTTTCGTAAAACTAAAAACTGTTTTGCCTACTCATATAAGAGAACTGTTTTACCAAAGTTATCACTCTCTCATTGCAGCAGAAAAAAGGTACCGTTATTTCAACTGCAGCATATGAACTGTTTTACCAAATTATTTTAAGAACCGTTTTAACGATTCTGTTTGTACTGCTTTACCTATAGATTTAAGGGAACTGTTTAAACGCTGTTTAGTAATGTACACACTATTCCTTTTGTTGTACACTGCCTTACCTTTGATTTATATGAACTATGGTGACTATACTATAAATGTAAACAAAGCAATTTATTTCCGGTATAACATTTTAAGGAGGTAAAACAGTTAACAGTTAACAAGCAGTGAAAAATAATATGTAAATTACTAATGATAAAAACATTCTTTAAACGAGTTAGATAAAAATTGAAGGAAATTAATTGGAAAATATTAGGTTTTTTCTTATGCAAAGCAAAAAATTATGTATGCATGTGGAAGGCCCTCATCTAGAAGTCGCATCTTTAACAACTACTTCCACTTGCAAATGTGTAACAAAAGTTGGGATAAGGCCATTTTTTAAGTTTCTTTAACCAAAGTCTATAGTCTAAGTCTATAGCCAAGTCTATAGTCAAGTCTATAGTCTAGTCTATAGTCTAGTCTACAGTCTAGTCTATAGTCTAGTCTATAGTCTAATCTATAGTCTAGTCTAGTCTAGTCTTCATAGTCTATAGTATAGTCTATAGTCTAGTCTATAGTCTAGTCTATAGTCTAGTCTATAGTCTAGTCTATAGTCTAGTCTATAGTCTAGGTCTATAGTCTAGTCTAGTCTAGTCTATAGTCTAGTCTATAGTCTAGTCTATAGTCTAGTCTATAGTCTAGTCTATAGTCTAGTCTATAGTCTAGTCTATAGTCTAATCTATAGTCTAGTCTATAGTCTAGTCTATAGTCTAGTCTATAGTCTAGTCTATAGTCTAGTCTATAGTCTAGTCTAGTCTAGTCTATAGTCTAGTCTAGTCTATAGTCTAGTCTATAGTCTAGTCTATAGTCTAGTCTATAGTCTAGTCTATAGTCTAGTCTATAGTCTAGTCTATAGTCTAGTCTATAGTCTAGTCTATAGTCTAGTCTAGTCTAGTCTATAGTCTAGTCTAGTCTATAGTCTAGTCTATAGTCTAGTCTATAGTCTAGTCTATAGTCTAGTCTATAGTCTAGTCTATAGTCTAGTCTATAGTCTAGTCTATAGTCTAGTCTATAGTCTAGTCTATAGTCTAGTCTATAGTCTAGTCTATAGTCTAGTCTATAGTCTAGTTTATAGTCTAGTAAATTTCTATTTTTAATATAAAAAATTAATTAAAATTTATCAATTTAAAGTAAATTTCTCTATAGAACAGAATATTAATGGTAAATTTCTTTATATAATAGAACATTTTTGCAAATTTAATTTTTCCAGAAGATTTTTGTAAATTTTTATTAAATGTAAGTTTTTTTATAAATTTATAATAGAAAATTTCAGTTTTTATATATAAAACAGCTAAACTTACCTAGATTCTGCTGCTTCAAGTGTTGGTTGATAAGATTTTATGATCAGATTCCTATTAATTTCCGACAAATTTACTTTTACTTTTATTTTTAATTTTCTTTATTTTTTACACACATTTTTTATTAATATTGCCCATTAGAAATTACATTTATATTTTTTCTCTAAGGTTGATTACTCGTTACCGAACTTAACGATTAATAAAACGATTTCAAGTCGCGTTACATTACTAAACTATTCATTTGTGTCAACATTCCGTAACCGAACTAAACATGATTTAAAGTCGCGTTAACATTTTACAGAATTATTAATTATTGCTACTACACAAAAACGATTTAAAGTCGCGTTACTTTTCTTAATGACATACTTTACATTTTTGAAAATTTTAAACCAATCTCCGAAATTACACAAAAAACAACACAAAAATAGGAACCGTTTCGAAAACCAACCTTAATTAAACACTTTTTAAACACTTTATCACATTTTTTAAAAAGGCCATATTTTTATTTTAGGGCAATAAACATTTTTACACATTTTTCTCTAATTAAAACACTTTTATCACTCACTTTTCTAGCTTCACTTCTTTTAACTATTATCACAAGAGCTTGTAAACCATCTATATAAAACCTAAAGGAAACCTGGAATGAGAAGAGAAAAAGATAAAATTAGTTTGCAATCACTTCCAACAATAATTGTAAATAAGTAATATGTGCCTTAGCTAAAGAAAATAAATAAAACAAAGTCAACAAAAAGTTGAAGAATTTGCATGCAATGTTTGTGCTTGCTTTGTCCATGACGTCACAATACAAATAAAATAAATAACTCTATTGACAGAAGAGCAACAAGTGAAAAAGGTAAACAGAACAATTGCAAGAGAATAACAAAAACAACAACAGCAAATAATAAATTTTGCATGTAATGTTTGTGCATGCTTTGTCCATGACGTCACAATAACAAAATAAACAACTCTGTAAATGACCTAAGAAACAATAACGATGATTCTCACAAACAACAACAAACACACATACACTTCATACACAATGCAAAAAAAAAAACAGAACAATGACGTAGTACCAACAAATTACATTTAAGGAAAAATATAATTTGTTCTACTAAATATTAACAAATTAACCACAATTGTTTTATATTTATTAAACTAACTGTTCCAATAAGATTTTTTGTTCAATATATCTTGTTCCGGACCACTTTTTATAGCAAAACCAGTAGGAGGTACTTACCCGGCTACGGCCGGTGGCTGCGGCTTCTTGCATTTGAAAAAAAACTTTTATTTCAAAAATTTTCTTTAATCACTATAAAATTACACTTTACACTATTAATTTAATATTACTTTAATAATTAATAACTTTTAACAAGTTTTTTAACAATTTAATTAATGCCGTCTTAAAATTAACGCGTGATCTGTTTGATTGCTTTCTTTAAACTAAATTGACAGAAGAGCAAGAAGTGAAAAAGGTAAACAAAGCAATTGCAAAAAAAGAACAACAACAGCAAGTAAAAGAATTTGCATGTAATGTTTGTGCATGCTTTGTCCATGACGTCACAATAACAATAACAGAAAACTATAAATGCAGAAACAATAACAATTATTCTCACAAACAACAACAAACACACACATACACTTCATACTCAATGCAAAAAAAAGCAGAACGAACAATGCCGTAGCAAGTACCAACAAATTGCATTTAGAGAAAAATATAAAATTTTCTACCAAATATTAAGAAATTAACCAAAATTGTTTTATATTTCTTAAATGAACTATTCAAATAACATTTTTTGTCTAAAATATCCTGTTCCGGAACACTTTTATAGCAAAACCAATAGGAGGTACTTACCCGGCTACGGCCGGCGGCTGCAACTTCTTGCAATGAAAAAAACTTTTATTTTATAAAATTTCCTTTAATAACTATAAAATTACACTTTACACTAGTAATTCAATATTATTTTAATAATCAATAACTTTTTTTATTAGTTTTTTAACAATTTAATTAAATGCCGTCTTAAAATTAACGCGTGATCTGATTGATTGCTTTATTTCAACTAAATTGGCAGAATATCAACAAGTGAAAAAGGTAAACAAAGCTATTGCAAGAAGAGAACAACAACATCAAGTGCATGAATTTGCATGCAATGTTTGTGCTTGGTTTGTCCATGACGTCATAATAACAAAACACTCTATAAATGCCCCAAGAAAGAAAAACAATTATTCTCACAAACAACAACAAACACACACATACACTTCATACTC